TAGAGGTTATCTTATATATCCTTGACGTTACATACCCCATTCCCGGAAATCCATTCCAGTTGTTGACTACGATATTTACAATACTTCCTCCATGATCCTTCATCCAACTGTTATAAACTTGAAAATCAAAGGAAGCTTAGAAACAACTACTGGTGTGCCAAGGGTATTGAAACAATGACTTACATATAGAAAATAAATACATGTATAATTAATTACAAATTTAAGACTACACATCAAAGACAAATTGTGCTTAGCACAAGACAACTCTTTAAAACAAATAAATTACTTTAAATTAACAAGACATGTAGACTTTATCTACCTTCTCTTGTCATCTGGAAAGTACCAGTGAGATTTGTTTCTATGACAGCATTCCAACCCTTTGTGCTCATATCGCCAAGACGACTTGGAAACTGACCACCCCCATTGTTAACCAAGTAGTCTATCTTACCAAATTTGTCCAGGGTAAAAGAAATCAAAGACTTAATCTGCAATTGAAAAAGGATTATAAATAACCATATGAGAAATTTGATATACTAAATGAAGACATGATTTATTTATTTATTTATTTATTTATTTATTTATTTATTTATTTATTTATTTATTTATTTATTTATTTATTTATTTATTTATTTATTTATTTATTTATTATACAAATATTAATTATGGTAAATTATAGTGATTAATTTATAATAAAGGAAATTTCATGAAGGCAAATTCAAAGAATACGCTTTTATTGGCTGGAAACCATTTAGTAATGCCTGCTACCCATGAGTCTTTGCAGTTTCCTTCAAATTCTGGCTGATCTAATGCCATTAAATTCATGCCTCAATGAAACTCACTGTACTAATACTTTATACTAATAATAAAAACTAATAATTAAAGTAGAAAGATGGACATGTAAATGTATGTCTTAAAAGGAATAGAAAACAACATGGAGAAATACAGTCCAGCTGATAAGAACAATTATTATACAATAGAATTTACCCATCACTGAAACAAACGTTTGCACACTGCGAAACATTCTTCGTTGCTACCTCAGGCTGTTATCACTCATTAAATTATTACTACAATCAGGAAAAAGTAGAAAGTACACACTCATGCAGTACAGTGACGCATCAACCTCCACTACATGTCAATCGTTAGGCTAGACTATTTTTATTCCTTTTTTCTCAAGTTTTTTTAGGTCAATTTTTTTGAGGGCGAAAAATAAATAAAATTAATTCTTTTTTTCCATTAGATTTGTGTGAATCTCAAAGAATTATAAGTAAGATCATTGATCGGAGAGAAGAAATGAAATAAAATTTTATTCCATGTATAACCTGGTTGGCAATGTCGCCAATTGTGGCACAATTTTCAGCAGGGATTTCTCGGTTTTTTGACGACAGATTCACGGCGTGTCACCACAAACCACGCCGCCGCCATGTTCGCCTAGTAGTCTCAAGCATAGAGGTCAATACCCGAGATTCACTGTCAACCAACGCGCATAAAGTATAGATCTACACGAGACTTCGGTAATTTGATCATGATACCCCCACGAAAATGCAACTTGGATTTGTTAGGCAGCGGGCGAAAAAAAAATAAGATGAAAATAATTTTTTTAGCAATTTTTTGCACTCACAAGTTGGCGGGCGCGAGAAATTACGCTGAAATAAAATTTTATTTTTATTTAATTTTTGACTCCTGATCATTCGGCGGGTTCGCGAAACAAGGAATAATAAAAGTCTGGCCTTATAATCAGTGAACTGTCTACGTGCATATTTGCAAAATTCTCAGAATGACTTCATAATATTGAGCACTTTTGAGTAGAAGCATAAAACTTGATATAATTGTACTACTTGGGCATCTCATTATTTCCTGATATACTGATATACTGACAAATTGATCACCCTTTATTTTATTTTTACAAAATTGACACCCTAATACTATAATACATGCATGACATATGGTGCATAGGTTAAGATATGATTTACAATATGTACTGTAAAATACTTGACTTTTGCTGCTAGGAATTTTTGTGTTTTGACGATTTCATAACGAAAGAGAGACATTATTTTGTGAAAGTTGCTGACACTACGTGTTGTATAACCCCAAAAAAATGTCACTGCTTCAAAAATTTATCATTTTCATTGACTTGCAAATTCACAAAAATTTGTCTCTTGAGAATTTAAAACAGTTTACAATATTCAAGAAAAGTTGAAAATAAGAATATACAGATGCATTATGGGAAAACAACCTGTTTTATAGTATTGATGTTTATATTACATTTATATTACTAACAGAAAACAACTAGAATAAATTATCTACACTATATATTTATATAATGAACACAGCTTTGTGCTCTTTACTGTAGCATGTACCATACTTTTTACTGTACCTGTTCCTCATTCCTGATATTACACTGGATAGCTTCTAGTTTAGCAGGACTGTCTTTATCAAGTTCTTGTCTCATTTCATCAGCTGATTTGTTTAATCTTTCACCTTTTCTGGAGGCTATCACAACTTTACATCCTGTGTATTACCGCATTAAACAGATATCATTATGTGTTACACAGTGTTCTATGGAATTGTTCTAAAACTTTCCAAAATACAATAAATTGACACTAATGACACGGGAAATGTTTTATTAAAAATAAAAATGAGAAAAAAAAAGATCGCTAAAATGGGACGAATGTGATTTGGGACGAATCGACTTGTGGCACGAATGTGAATTGGGACGAATCGACTTGTGGCACGAATGTGTTTTGGGACGAATGTGAATTGGGACGAATTGACTTGTGGGACGAATGTGAATTGGGACGAATCGACTTGTGGGACGAATGTGAATTGGGACGAATTGACTTGTGGGACGAATGTGAATTGGGACGAATCGACTTGTGGGACGAATGTGAATTGGGACGAATTGACTTGTGGGACGAATGTGAATTGGGACGAATTGACTGTAAATCTAGGCTGCAGAACTGCAGTAATGTTCACAACGGCTAATTGCGCACAGTAATACCGGTATGATATGCACACTGTGACTATTGTTTCTGACACAAGTCCCGCTTACCTAAATTTAACAGTTCTCGTGCAATGGTTTTTCCGATTCCTGTACCCCCGCCTGTAATTATCGCCACTCTTTCGTTAAATAATCCCGATCGAAAAACACTTGCAACCCTAGCGGCAGCCATGTTGTCAACATTTGTCAGGTGGGTAGATCACATGACGTGAGGTCACAGTGTGTCAGACCCATAAAAAGTCCTGTTGATCTAAGTTTTTACTTACTAGTACATAACAAAGTCTGTGTTGTTTTACTGACAATAATTTAGAGACTAATATTTACCCTCTGAAATCACGATTTTTTTTTTTTTATATAAGAACAAGGGGCTCATATAAACATTCCGCCATAAACTTGCATTCAAGTTGTTTGTATGTTTTTCAGCCGCGCGTGAAGCGGAGTAATAAACGTCATTCTCTCCTATGGCCGTTGAAAAACGTCTAACCACACACGTTTATACGAGCCCCTGTAATCCTTACACAGTCTGTAGTGGTCCGAGGGTCACCGCACTCGCGATTCAAAGTTCAGTTTTACCGCACACCACGTTCAGAGTCACAGTACTTAGAAATACCATGGAAATACTAACCTAAATTTAATAGTTCTCTGACTATGGCTTTCCCAATACCAGTTCCACCGCCAGTTACGATTGCAACCTTGGAATGAAATAGTCCATGCCGGAAAATACTCCTTACAGGCCCAGCCGATACGGACGTCATAACTTTAATAGCCCCCGGAGTTAAAGTACTTAAAAATATTGTTAGAGCGCCATCAAGGGTCAAATTTGAGATTTTTTTATTGTATAATGATAAAAAATTTGAGTAATATTTATCTTAAAATAGAATACTGAATAAATCTCAGACTAGTAAATTGTATTAGTAGTCTGAGAATAAATCCAATGCTCGTATGTACTGGACCTACCATTTGCAGAGGTGTTTTCCAGAAGGATTATACTTTTATTTAACAATAAATCATACCCGTGATGTTTTAATGAGATGCAATGATATCAAGTAAAATTATTTAAATTGTCACCTGGCATTCTTAGTGATCGATGTGATCACCACGAGAAATACTAAAATCAGTTGGCATGGCAATAAATGTGGGTGGGATGGTGGTAGGGGTGGGCGCTTTCATAGTGGAAGTATACGAGTGTACGCCGCTGTTTTGACAGCTAATTTTAAGATTTCAATGCAATGCTTTATAGCAAAATTGGTGCATTTCTTTGGCCAAAAAACGCCCATAAAATTAATAAATTGATCTTTTTGGGCCAAGTTTTCAACTGCCTGCGGGGCACTCCCAACCAAAACCTAGGCGAGTAACTTGGAATATATATCCACACAACATGATTATGATTTTTTTTAAATTATGGAATACCATTCACACTAAGATTCGTTCAATAGGCTCGCTGAGTCGATTGAAACAATGCTACATAAACATTTAGCTGAATATATATACATCATAGTTTTTACGCCTATTTACCTCATCTTGATTTAGCACTATAACTGTTGTATTTATACATGTTTGATTAGAATGACGGTTAATAAAAGTATTAAAGGGAGCAGCATCAATATATCTTCTGTAAGAGATTTTTTCTGGAAAGACGAATTTTTCTGCGTTGTGGCATTGGTTTAATCATGATTGACCGACTTGTTAGTATCAGTCGTATCAAAACTTGACTTCGTGCTTCGTTTATATCAGCTTATACTTTAAAGGGATAAGAAATTGACTTTTTTTGATGTCGATGTTTCAATAAGTTGAGAATAGATCCACGTAAATTATTACCATTGCACGGAACTTATTGTTCAGTAACGCAGATCATGAATCAAAGCTTATACACAATGTAAAGGTTGACACCTGTTTCTAAACTGCTGTTTCATCAAAATTCACACATTTTTTTACTTTTGAAAAATGACGTTTTTAAACCACATTTATAACGAAATGTTGAGACAGAAAATTTATATTTTATATGTCAAAATCGGGACTGTAAGATTGTGATAGACCCACTCTCTTGTCTAACCTAAATTAATCCAATTTATAAATTACATTGAATACAAGCGAGATGGTACAGAGGGGGTAGATCTGCTCACCATCTCACTTGGGGGGGGGGGGGGTTCCAAGGGCATGCTTCCCCTTAAAATTTTTTAAATCTAGCCCCTCTGAAACACTATTTCCTGCACTTTGAGGGGAAAATTTTGTTGACACAAGGGTTTCAGCTTGATTTAGGGGTGGTGGTCGTGTGCGTGACCCCTTTCTGAAAAATGTGTCATAGCGCCCTCTGTCGGCAAAATGATGAAAAACAAATCAAGCTGCAATTAGTCTCGCATGGATCCGTGCATGCAAGTTCAGTTTAATTGGCTTAGATGAGCATGGCAGTGGTTGCCAAGAATGATACGTTTTTGCCATAAATTATACACACATTTCAGGCTACTTTTAGAGTGCATTCAATCCAAATGAAAACCACAACACATGACCAAACTGAATCTAAGCTCATTTGGATGAGCAGATTGCTTGGAATAGATTTTTGAACATTGTAATTTTCTGTTAATCTAATGTGGCAACCAAACTATGGTTGTAATGCACTTTGTGCACAGATGCTACAAGCCTCAAGACTGATTACAATTATTTCTCCTAAAAGAACTCGTACAACATTGAGATTAGTCAAAACTTTAATTTTAAACAAATGCTTAATTTTAGGCCCCATTACTTGAAAATTCAAGATGGCACTCAAACCAATCAAAATAATTTTTCTCATAAGCTTTGGTGCCACATATCAAGTTGATCTCACGAGAAACATTTTGAAAATTTTTGACAGAAATATTTTGCATACTACTTTTGGAAGTTGTCCCTTGCATCCCAAACATTTAGGCAAGACAACCAGGATATATTTTCATTCGCATTTTAACAAATATTGAGAATAGTAATCATGTGACCAATGGACACGATTCAATCAAATTATCACATACTTAATCCCTGATCAATTGTTGAATGTACACTATCAAATTAGCGCATATCATGAAAATATTGACCGCATTCCAGCGATTCTCTCCAACAATGTCATGAAATGAATGAAACACGAAAACAATGAAAATCAAAGAAAGCTTAGAAAGAACTCCCGTGTGCTGAGAGTATTGAAGACACATTACAAATTAATTCAAAGTTACTTGTACATGAGATATTGATGGAAAAGCTGAAAACTAATTATGTAAATCAGGTAACTAATATGAACAGAACAAAAAAATTATGAATTATTATGCTAATTAGAGAATAATATTAATCAAAATTAATCAGGCCTGTCTATTGTCCTAGAGCATTTATGTACCAAATTTTATTCAAATGTGATGATCAGTAATTGAGATATCAGTGTTAATTACGTTAATTAGGTGATTAATAAATATTTACCAAAAAATAATTGGGTTTCTGCATAGTTCTCTTTAAAAGTTTCATTAAAATCCAATTTGTGGTTCTTTATATATCAGTGGAACATTATGCAAATTAGGTAATTAATATCCAATTAAAACTAATCAGGTGTCTGCATAATCCTAGAAGATCTATGTAGCAAGTCTGATTGAAATATGATGATTACTACTTGATATATCAAAAGCTGAAAATTAATTAATTATGCAAATTAGGTAATTAATATGTACTCATATTACCCTAAAAACTATCAGGTCTGTGCAGTGTCCTATGACATCTATGTACCAAGTGTCATTGAAATATGATGATTACTACTTGAAATATCAAAAGCTGAAAATTAATTATGCAAATTAGCTAATTAATATATAATGATATTACCCTAAAACTATCAGGTCTGTGCAGTGTCCTATGACATCTATGTACCAAGTTTTATTGAAATGTGATGATTAGTACTTGAGATATCAGTGGAAAAGCCGAAAATTGATTAATCATTATGCAAATAAGGTAATTAATATTGCACATGATTTTTACCCAAAACTAATCAAATCTGCGCATTAGTTTGGAGCATCTGTGTGCCAAGTTTCATCAAAATCCAATGAGTGGTTCTTTAGATATCAGTGGAAAAGTAATGGAACAGCTAATTATCATGCAAATTAGGTAATTAATATGCATGGATTTTTACCGCATTCGCCCAGAGCATCTCTGCACCAAATTTCATCAAAAACTGATGTATGGTTCTTGAGATAGTGGAACAGACAGACCCACACGCCCACGCCCACACACACACCGACCCCCACCCACCCGCACACGGGAGTCAAACAGTACTCCAAGTAGCATGTAACGGTATGTATGGGTGTTGAAATCGACACAGAACAAGTGATGCGACTATTACTAGTGAAAAATTGTGCTAGATCTAGTGGCAATATGTATACAAGGCGAGAGACATTGTTATGTCGGTTAGCAGCATAACCCCTGCTCTTTGTATAGCTATCGTAAAATAAATACCTACAAAGGCATTTGGGGAATAAATTTGCAGCATCGTGAACGGTGATATGTATTGGCATTTACAAGCATTATGAACAGACTGCATAATTAACTAAAAAATATTTAGAACAGACAGACAGACAGACAGACAGACAGATAGACAGACAGACAGACAGACAGGTAAAATAATGTGACACATTGGACAACTTTAAAATAGATGATATTCATCACTCTTTATATATTGTAGCAAACACATGTACACGGAACCAGTATAAAGTATGCAAATAAGACACCATATTCTATCAACTACAATCAATCTTAACAAATGAAAAATATTGAAAATCTTAGAGAATAAAAAATAAAAGTAGCAGTTACAATTGATACTAATAAGCAAAATTTATAGATATGTCCCTTACTTGAGAAAATATACAAACCTTTTATTTATTCCATTCTTAAAGTATTATCATAAAATGATGTAAACAATGTACCAGACTTTGACAGCTGTTTTCAAAACTCGACCGGAACTAAGACACTTTGCATGCACAAAAAACAAGTGAAATTGAAATGAGCTGTTATTACATACAAATATTTTGGAACGCAAAATATAAACATGCTGCAGAGACGGTAAGCATAAATGAGTATGAAATGAATAAATTCATTGTATGGTTTTGAGGTGTAAATACATGACAGTTGACAAAAAACGCTCAAATTTCTTGCAAGAAAAAAATCATGCCCATTAAATATGTCGGATTAATATTACAAATCAGAATGACTAAAGGCAGCCAATCGAAGGATTCAGAGACATGCAGTCATACAAGTTTTCTGAATAATGTACGCAAACAAATGTTCATACCTAACATGTATATTAGCTTATTTAGACAATATTTATTGAGTGAATATTATAGGGCTAAATATCAGCAAAATAGATCAATTTATTTCATATAATAATTTCTATAATCTCTATAATCTAATGTCTGTTTATTCCAATAAGGATGTACACATTGTGAAAAGTGCAAATAATTAGTCATCATTTGAAATTGAGTCCCGCATACAATCCTATTTTTTGGAGAGGCCCCGTGCCATGAGGCAAGCAAACACCGTCATCACCATTTTTGGCTTCACTTCCACTAAATCTTCGGGCAAGGCATAAACAGGTGCACCAATTTTGCGAGCCATGGAAATGGCATATTTGGCGTTTAGTAACTTCTCCTGATGGTACGAACAAAATTTATAATTAGATAACAATACAAAACACAATTGGCTGAAATATCATGGAAATGGTGCGTCTTGAACACTTAAATCAACATAGCAAGGTATAAAGTCATCAGTACAGTACACAAGCAGCCTGTCGGCTGAGATAGCTCCGCTGTTAGCAATGCACATTTCAATTAAAGAACAGAAGATAGCATTAGAAAATGAGCAATATGTATAGTTTGAAGCAATGGGACTTGCTGTTTTCAACAAAAATTCAAAAATGTCACTTTTCACCAAAAATAATCATCAAAATTAGATAATTGAAGATATCACCACAAAATTAACAAATCTGAAAGAGGTCCACATATAGTACCTTTATATGTAATATAAAAATAATCAGACTTGCAGTTTTCAACAAGAATTCGAAAATATCACTTAAAAAAAAAATTAAAAAATATTCATTAAAATTAGAGAATTAAAGATATCATCACGAAATGAACAAATCTGAAAGAGGTCCACATGTAGTACCTATATATGTAATATCAAAGCAATTGGACTTGCGGTTTCTAACAAAAAATAGAAAAATATCGCTTTTTACCAAAAATGACAAAAATATTCACCAAAATTAGAGATTAGAAGATATCATCATGAAATGAACAAATCTGAGAGAGGTCTACCCCAGGTACATACACACCAAGTATCAAAGCATTCAGGCTTGTAGTTTTCAAGAAGAAGTCGAAAAAGTAAAACATTGACATGGACGACGGACAATCACTCATATGATAAGCTCCGCTTGACAAAGTCGACAGCGGAGCTAATAAACAAGCAGCCTCTCGGCTGAGATAGTATTTATACATGTAATATCAAAGCAATTGGACTTGCGGTTTTCAACAAGAAGTCGAAAATATCACTTTTTACCAAAAATGACAAAAATATTCATCAAAATTAGAGAATTGAAAATATGATCATGAAATGAACAAATCTGAGAGAGGTCTACCCAAGGTACATATACACCAAGTATCAAAGCATTCAGGCTTGTAGTTTTCAAGAAGAAGTTGAAAAAGTAAAACATTGACACGGAAGAGGACAATAACTCATATGATAAGCTCCGCTCGACAAAGTCGACAACAGAGCTAAAAAATTACCCTGACGAAGCGAATTTTAAAAGCCATTATCTTCCTGTACCTCAGACTAGTAATGTGTGTTACTATACTCTCAAATTTCCTTTATCGAGTGTCCTCAGGAAATAAATTGACAATAGAACTTCACCCTCCCACTTTCTGGTATTTGACAACTGTTCAGATCCCTTGGATAGGGACAATTGACAATTCTTCACTGCCAAGGATGATTGAACTATAATAAAATGATGCGTCAAGATAAAGTACTTACAGTGTCATTGGTTGGATTTTCTCTGAAGTTCTTATAAGTGATAGCACCCGATTGTATAGAATCAATCAAATCAACTACCGCTCTACTATCACTGATACTATGGTCTTGGAAACTACGAATACTTGATGTCTTCTTGGCATTCTTCAGCTGAAACCAACAATGCATAGAGTGAGGGTTAAGGTCATTGTGGGGTGGTTTAAGGGTCAATGTGTCAATGTAAGGTGCCTGTGAAACACTGGCTACTCCAATGTCTAAAATCATATGAACAATATTATGGACAAAAATAATAAACAAGCAGCCTCTCGGCTGAGATAGCTCCGCTGTTAGCAATGCACATTTCGATTAAAGAACAGAAGATATCATTAGAAAATGAACAATATGCATAGTATCAATGCAATGGGACTTGCTGTTTTCAACAAGAATTCAAAAATATCATTTTTGACCATAAATGATTGTGGTTTTTAACAAGAAGTTGAAAATATCACTTTTTACCAAAAATGACAAAAATATTCACCAAAATTAGAAAATTAAAGATATCATTATGAAATGAACAAATTTGAGAGTGGTCCACATGTAGTACCTATATATGTAATATCAAAGCAATTGGACTTGTGGTTTTTAACAAGAAGTCGAAAG